ATAATACGCCACCACATGCTCTGTTTCAACACCATTGCAGCCGTTCCTTCTCTCTCCTCCTCTCACATCGCTGGTTAACCTCTAGCGTCTATTCCACTTCAACTCTAAATCAACAGTCTTGTAAAATTCTTAGATCTGAGGTAAAAATTATACTGGCTAATTAGGATTCAGAGATTCGATTCAGTTTGATTTGATTGAGTGTTGTTCGGTGTGTTTGATTTCTCTTCGATTATTCACGGTGTTCGATCTGTCTTTTCGGCTCTTATATTTCGTGTAAGATAAATCTCCAGTGAACCAATAGTGCCGGAATTATACCTTCAAGCATATTATCTACGCCATTGACCTCTCGAAAGCACCGACGAACCACCGGCGACAGGTAATCTTTGTGCCTCCCTCCCTTTCGCATCTCTCCCTCTTTCCCCTCTTTGTCCCTCAAGCAAATTTCACACACACCCCCACGACACCAGAATCAGTCTCCCCACCCTCTACCTGTTTGAGAAAAGGCCTGACAGGATTTAGTATTACTTTCCTGGCTATTTCATACCATTAATATGTGGCATGCGGTAAGGCATCATAGTTGGTGGAGGAGTGCTACAGTAACCTGTACCACCAGCAATCTTTGCCAAAGCCGCTTGGCCTTGCATCCAATTACTTCCATACTGCCTACAGTTCACAATTACTGATTAGGTTTGTTGATTAGCAATTGTAGAAAATATTCAATGCTCATCAACAGTTTGTTCCTTTAAGAGGTGTATCTGTTAATGTACTTTATATTTGAATTTCCTTTTATTTTCTTTATAAACCCTCTGTTGTTATCCCTCTCATATCTACTCTCTCATGCATTTTCCCTCTCAATTCTCATAATGGATTGTTTCCACAAAATTATATATTCAGATTTTGTCAGCTTCCTCATGAAACCTTAGTGCGGCTAGCAAATGGCGTATAGGTTGCAAGTTTATGTGGTGGACAAAGTATTAGAGACATTTATGTTGATTTTGATTGAAATGTTGATGACACAACTAATTAAATTTGATGGAATCATTGCTAGTGGAGATGAGAAATTGCATACTAGAATTCAGGCTATGGATTTGTTCTTGAAATCTTTCATGATGAATTATTTATTTTTTCCATTCTTTTCTGTGCTTTTCATAAGTTAAATTTGTTATATTTCTTATTCTTTGAGCCTTTTGTGAGTAGCAACATAACTTAGGTTAGTCTCTTTCCTCGAAAACGTGTAGCTCCTAAGGTACATCTGCCTGCATGAGATACTGTCTACCACCCTTGGGTGGCCGTCGGAGGCTCCCACCGTCTTCACAAACTCGGCGTCGGACTCCGGCCACTTGTAGAGGTTGACGTAGGTGGCTCTGACTGGGACCCTTGTGTCTTTTACACAGTTTGATATACAGACTGAGCTCATCTCTTTGGGGGTTTCCGGTGATGGGTTTCAGATTTTATGTATTGGGTTTTCGGTTATAAATCTAACCAAGCCTTAGATTGCAAGAAATATGAGACAGAGAGAGAGAGAGAGAGAGAGAGTTTATGGATTTGAGTGATGTATGGAATAATTAAGCATCATTAGCAAGCAATGACTGTGTTTTAATTCTTTTTGTGCTGTTAGGAAAGAATGCGGAAAAAGAGCAAAAGTAGATACATTATTAACCCTGTATTTACGAATTTGCCTAAAACTTATTATCAAAGATCAAAAATTCCTTTTAAAATGGTTGGAATGGCCGAAATACATTTGTTTCTATGGAAACTAAAGTGAATCAATGATTAAAATTCTAATGTTCCTAGGTTGTGTTCCGAGATTTTTAGAATATTTTGAGGTGTTTCAGTAGATTTCAACATGATTTCACTAATGTTTCAAAATATTTCAAGGTGTGTCAAGATATTCCATCATATTTCGACCAATGTTTTGAGATATTTGGAAAATAAACTCGCATTTTTATTCCTATTTTTGTTCTGTTTTTAAAATATTTTTGAAATGATTTTATTTTTTAAGTAACCAAAATAATGCATCAAAATAAAATTTTAATCTTTGCTTATTATTGATAAAATTTTCGAGAAATGATCAATAGAACATACTTTTCTCATTGAAACGCTGTAAAATCCTGTAATATCTTTATTAGGACAATTAAATGGTACTTTCTCCATTCTTAAATATCTGTCGTTTAAGAATTTTATACAGGGATTAACAAAGCTATTAAATATCTCTAATATAAGTAAAAAATAATTACACAAGACTAAAATACTCTTATTCAATACGTATTGAGAATGAAAAAAATATGAAAGACACTTAGCCTCCACATAATCTAATGCATTGAAAAGTTAAGGGTAAATTTAGAAGAAAAAAATATTAATTATACTTTGGTTTTATTAAACGACAAATACTGTGGAACAAAAAAAAATTGTGTAAAACGACAGATATTTAGGAACGGATAGAATAATAATTAAGGCTATTAATTTTTGACACGACACGTTAACACAATACAAATTGAATACAAAATCGACAGGTCAGACATGAAATTAAATGAGTCAATAGGCCAACACGTTTAAACACAAAAAAAATTATATCGAATTTATGTCAAAATTAAGTCAACTCAATTTTGACCTGATTTTCCAGTATATTATGTGTGATTGATATAGTCTTAATATTATATTATTATTAATTATTAGTTTTTGTTTCTACTATGGTAATTGACAATATAGTCCATCACATTATTATGACAATATACTAGTATAGTTCTTAATTTAATTTTTTGGTTGAAACTTGAATGTATTTTAGTTAATTTTATTGATGAGATGTGATATGTTATTAGTCAAAAATTTTAAAATTTTTGATGAATAATTGAATTGTGTATTTAATAGTAATGAACAAGTGTGAAAATAATTATGTGTGTTAAACAAGTCATGTTTTGTGTTTTAAATAGGTCATACTAGATGTGTTAATCTAAAAACGACCTATTTATTAAAAATGTCAAATGGGTCGGATTCGAGTAATCTGTTTAATAGTCAGGTTGAGTTAGTGTTTACACATCTCACATCTCGACACGATTATTACACATCTCTCTACTCCCACTGAAACTCCGCCAAAACCCCCTTACAACTTGACAAAAAACCCCCACTGACATTCTACTGCATCTATACCAAAAATCAGAACAAAAACCCACCGAAAACCCCACTGCAATTGCACTAAAAATCAGACCAAAAACCCTCCACAAGCCCACTGAAAACTGATTGCACAAAAAATCAGACCAAAACCCCGCTCCAAAAATCAAACCAAAAACCACAAATTGTCTCTCTTTCTAGAAGTAATTTAAAATTTCTAATTTTTAATTTAAATTTTTAAAAAATTATGAGTTATTCCTACGCCATTAAAATTTTTGAATTTCTCCGATTGCCAATGACGTGGTGATATGCTACGTAGTATGTTAGATTTTAAATATTAATAGTTAGTTAAAATAGAGAACATTGTTAGAGTAAATTAGTAAGTGTAATAAAAAAATATACTTTAACTAATATCTTTGGAGTTGCTGTTAGTTCCCGCCATATAACACTCGCTCCTCAAGGACACTTGCTTCTCAAGGTTCACTGATACTCGCTTCTCAGGGTTTACCGAATCTCTCATTTCCAATTTCGTCGTTTAGGTGTTTATGGTTCTCTAAATCTCTCACTGATTTTAATTATTGTTTAGGTAATCCTGCGTTCTTGATTGATCACTACTGGTTCAAGAATAATTTACTATTCAGGTATTCTTGGTTCGACGAATCTCTTACTAATTTTCAATTTCTTTGTTTGGCATTCTTGGATTCTCTTCACTGATCGCTGGTTGCATGCACTACCGCCCTCTCTCTCTCTCTCTCTCTCTTAGTTGTTTGATATTGTACATTTCTGTGAAACAAATCTTTCGATTTGACAATTTCAAGACTCAAATTTACCATTAACCAAATTTTGAGCAAATTAGGATCAATTCACTCTTTTAAGTCTTTCAAATACAAATTATAAATTTCTTTGTTAGGCATTCTTGGATTCTGGTTCAACACGAAACTGACTCTCTCTCTCTCTCTTAGTTGTTTGATATTGTACATTTCTGTGAAACAAATCTTTCGATTTGACAATTTCAAGACTCAAATTTACCATTAACCAAATTTTGAGCAAATTAGGATCAATTCACTCTTTTAAGTCTTTCAAATACAAATTATAAATTTCTTTGTTAGGCATTCTTGGATTCTGGTTCAACACGAAACTGACTCTCTCTCTCTCTCTTAGTTGTTTGATATTGTACATTTCTGTGAAACAAATCTTTCGATTTGACAATTTCAAGACTCAAATTTACCATTAACCAAATTTTGAGCAAATTAGGATCAATTCACTCTTTTAAGTCTTTCAAATACAAATTATAAATTTCTTTGTTAGGCATTCTTGGATTCTGGTTCAACACGAAACTGACTCTCTCTCTCTCTCTTAGTTGTTTGATATTGTACATTTCTGTGAAACAAATCTTTCGATTTGACAATTTCAAGACTCAAATTTACCATTAACCAAATTTTGAGCAAATTAGGATCAATTCACTCTTTTAAGTCTTTCAAATACAAATTATAAATTTCTTTGTTAGGCATTCTTGGATTCTGGTTCAACACGAAACTGACTCTCTCTCTCTCTCTTAGTTGTTTGATATTGTACATTTCTGTGAAACAAATCTTTCGATTTGACAATTTCAAGACTCAAATTTACCATTAACCTAAATTTGAGCAAATTGGGATCAATTCACTCTTTTAAGTCTTTCAAATACAAATTATCAATTTCTTTGTTAGGCATTCTTGGATTCTGGTTCAACACGATACTGACTCTCTCTCTCTCTCTCTTAGTTGTTTGATATCACTATTGATCTTTGTACGAATCTTTCGATTCAAATTTACCATTAACCTAAATTTGAGCAAATTGGGATCAATTCACTCTTTTAAGTCTCTGAAATTTCTACATTCAATCTTTGAACAGCAATGGCTAAAAGCAACCGTCCGTGGAAGTACAACAATAAAAAGAATAAAACTAAACCAGTGGCAGCAGCTACGCCGGAACGCACTGAATGCACCACCTGCCAGGGATCATTCCCAGACATGACAATGATGGAATTTACCCATCATGTCATCAATTGCCAACAACAAGTAATCTTTATGCACATTATCTGTTAATCCAGTAAAAAACCTGTTTTTTGTTAAACTAAACTTAAAACCATAAATTCATATCCAACAGGCCAAGAGAGTTGCAAAGAAGACAGAGGAGGCTGCAAAAGAGAAAAAGGAGAACATTACTGCAGAACCCAAAGGGAAGAAGACAGAGAAAAAGAAGTAGGTAAAATGTACTTGACTGTCAATCTAGCAAAATGGCAGACGACTTGAACTTGCAATAGACACAATAATGCTGGGTGATTTTTATTTTCTTTTGAACACCCGTTGACCCAGTCTCTTTCCGGGTTTATGTCCAGTCCGCTTTTTAAAACTATGTTTCCTACTGCTCATTTTTTTCTTAGAATCTCTTTCTTTTTTTTGGAAGGTCAATAGAATCTCTCTTACTAAGAAAGAAACTACACTTAGTGCAAGAGGATTGTGGATATTAAGGATGTGATAAATTCCATAATTGCATGCTAAAAAAATGTTTTCCCTTTTATAAACAAATGGCCACACAAATCAAATGGTAGTAAGAAAGGAAGTACAGAACACCACATCCACTAGTACCCTATACAAAAAAATAGCAACAAAAGAAGAAAGTTTGACTTAGGCAGAAAATCAGAAGTCCTTGTAGCATTGGGGGTATTGAAAAAACGAAATTCGGCTTGGATTTTTTCACGCCTTGTTTCATTCAAAAACATTAAAAAAAAAAATCAGAGGAGAGGACTGGATTATCCTTCTTAGGAATACTTGGGCAGAACAACACGAAACAATAAAAAAAAAGTGTAACATCCCAGATTCTCGTCTTCAAGAAAAGTTTTTCCAGTTAAATACAATTTGTTCTTTCATCAAAAAAAAAAAACTATACAATAATCTAAAATCAAACCTTCCAAGCGAGATCTGCTGAAAACTCCTTCGATTATCTGAAGTCGTGTCCTTTTGATGTCCCAAATGATATCTCCAAAACAAATGCTAACAGCCCCTATTTTTGGCTTGAGAGAGAAGGGAAGGGAGGAGAAAGAGACAATAGAACACAAAATTAGTGGATCGGATCAATTCATAAAAATCTGTTTTACATTAAAAAACAAAAAATACATAAATAAATAAAAGAGAAGCAAATATCAAACCTTCCAAGCCAGATCTAACGATGCCCCAAATGAAATCTCAGAAAATATACAATGAAATCACCAAATCAAATATCAACCTTGGCGAGATAGAATAGACAGACAGACGGAAGACCTTTGGAGAGGGAAGAACAGAGGAGAGGAGCGGAGAAGAGAGATGCAATAGGGTTACAAAGTTATCAATAAAGATTGGGAGAATTATATTGAGCACCCTTAAAGTTTATCATGTAGTCATTTAGGACCCCTACTATTTAAAATATTATACACAATTCTCAAAAATTGTACGTACGTAACACTTAGATCCCTTCTATCAATGTCAATTATTATATCCGTCAATAAATTATACTCAGAAATTTATAAGCATATAATATTTAGACCTTTAATATTTAAAATATTATATTTAGATAAAAAGTACTGTAATTAAAGATAGAATATTAAATATTTTCAAATTTTACAATTAAAATTTATATTTTATTATGACATTTATTGAAATAAAATCAAAAATAAAAATTTAATTTTCTCTTAAAAAATCATAATTATTATATAATTATACTATCTATTGAAATTTAATTTGATTGTTTAAACGATTAAATTAAACTATCAAATTACCCCAATTAATGTAGAAGATATTGTGTTTATTATAGTTTAACCTCTTATTTGATTTTTTAATTTTATTTTAATACAGATAGCATAATTGCATTTCAATTATGATTTTTAAGATAAAATTAGATTTTTTTCGATTTTATTTTAATAAATAACATAATATAACATAAATTTTAGTTGTAAAATTCATGTTCTATTATGAATGACTTAGACTCTTTATTTGATTTTTTAGTTTTATTTTAATCGATAATATAATTGTATACTAATTATAACTTTTTAAGAAAAAATAAAATTTTTAATTTTAATTTTATTTCAATAAATGATATAATAAAATATTTGGTTGTAAATTTTATAATATTTGATATTCTATATTTGATTAGAGTATTTTTAGTGCAAGTACAATATTTTAAACTTGAAAGATCTAAATATTATACGTTTATAAACTTTAAGGGGTCTAAGTATAATTTACTAATAGATATACTAATGGACATTAACGGACATTGACGACAGGATCTAAATGTTATTCGCGTACAAAATTTAGGGAATTTTTGTACAATATTTTAAATATCATGGGAACTAAATGATTCAATGACAAATTTTAGGAGGTCTCAACATAATTCACCCATAAAGTTCTTTGATCTTATTAATTTGTCAATTTAATTAGACAGACCCTTCACGGTTGATATATTACATTGACACTCCATAATAATAATAACTTTCGGTAGAAACCAACGAAAGTGCAAAAATGACTAAATTCTTCTCACAAATAACCTAAACAAAACAAACTTGGATAACTTAACCCAACTACCAAACAACTCCAACCACACCTCAAACATCTTTTTCATAAAAATACGGTTGTCTTCTCTTTCAGAAATTACAGAGCCACCTCCACTAGGCAATCCTAGGCCACCCCTATCACCACAAAAGGTTCTGGAATCAACATATCACAAAGAATAGTTGCACTTTCTTGTGAAGTCGAAGTGCTACTTTGCGTCTCTTAAGTTCTTGTTCTGTGTTCTTGAGATTCTTTTGATTTTGTGTTCTTGATTCTGATGGAGATTATTTTATTGGTTTGATTTAGTTGTTTTTAAGGGCCTACCTACACACACTCTCTCTATAAATATGTAGGAATTGTGTAGGCAAGGAGAAACAGACCACCTTGGTCCCTACTCTCCCATCTTTCACCATCCCTCCCCCATCTCTGTCTCTAATATATATAGGAATTGTGGAGCGAATGAGGAATATTGTTGATGGTTTCTACATCACCACTATGAATTGTCCTCTACCCCTCTCATCCCTTTTTATTGAACTAATAATTAATTTTATAAAATTGATTGTGCTTGAAATAAGACCCAACTCCACCGCCCCAAACATCTCACACAAAGGCTAGTACACCATAAACCCAACAAAGCCATGAGTGAGTCATGGTGGAGCGCATGTGTTGTTGTTTGGATGGTGGAACATGTGCGACATGAATGCATTGGACCACGAGTGAGTGGTGGTGGAGACTAGTGTACCCTAGTTTGGATGTGTGAAGCGTGTGTTTGCGTAGGAGAGAGATTGAGAGAGATGACTTGCCTTCTCTACGCAAGGGTTAGTGGTTTTGATGCGTTGTGAAGGGAATTAATTTTTTTTTAATTGATGAGTTGGGAATTGAGTGGGTTCGGGGTGGCCAATGGGAGCATGTTAGGTTTCAGTATGATGGTCGTGGTTTGTAAATTGTACTGAGGGATTAAATGAGAATTTAAAAACTATTATGTGTAAAAGGATTTTATTTTAAATTATTCATGGATAACTTAGTAATTTTAGATTTAAAATATGCTAATGTTATTAATTTTTAAGAACATTTCTAACAACAAGGATGTATGTGTTACAACTGTACATACTTTCAAGGGCCTGGAGAGGCTATGGTACCGAATGGTCAAACAGCGGTACCGTACCAAAACAAAGGTGTGACCATAAATTTTTTGACATTTAATATTACTTAAATGTGTGGTTATAAACTTTTTGTCATTAAATATTACTCTTTAAAAGTGATAACTTTGCCTATAAATGGAATAACATTGCCTTAAAGGGTTGTAACTCACCTCAAATACTTGTAACCTCATCTGCCCTTTTTTGTGTAGTATTTTTACCTTTACTACTTGTAACATAACTTTAAATACTTGTAATCCTACCTTAAATGTAGTAATTTTACCATAAATAGTTATAATATCACTTTCAGATATTGTAATTTTACATTTAATTGTGGTAACCTTACCTAACTTTTAATTCTTAACCTTTAATTGTTATAATCTAACCTTTAAGAGTTATAATCTCACTTTCAAATATAATAATTTTACTTTTAATTATTGTAACCTTACCTAGCCTCACTTTTAAATAATGATACATTTTCCCTTTTTTTTATGTTTGATTGGATGGATGAAAAATAAAAGTGACTAATTTTTTTTTGTGATAGTTAAGATTAGGGTTGACAATCAAATCGTGTCGTGTCAGATTCGTGTTGAGTTATAAAATTATGAGCCTTTTATATTTCTTGTTCACGTGTCAGGTTATTTTTAAGTTCCAGTCGTGTTATCGTGTTGAGTCGAAAATTTTCACCTAAGATAAAAAAAAATATATATTTTTTAATTTAAATTTTTATTATTTATTTATTTTTTAATATATATATACATATATATAAATATATAAATTTTTTAATATATATATACATACATATATATATATGTATATATATATTTTATCATTATCTTTTTATATGAAATTAATGTATACATAATATATATAGACAAATAAGATATATCTCAACACAAATAATTAACTTTACATCCACTTTCCTTTCGATTTTGGTGAGTTGGAAGAAAAATTAATACATCCACTTTTTCATCATTTCTAATTTCTTTTTTTACCAAACATTTTATTTTATCTATTTCTCCAACTTTTCATCCTTCCAATTTTTCATCTTTTCATTTTTCCGTCTACCAAACGAAGCACTAATGATATGTTAACTGTAACTGTAAACCAAATCCAGTGAAAAAATTGTGTCGCTTCCTCACAGACTTATGCAAGTCCAAACAACAAACTTAATCATGTCACTCAAACCTCTGCTACCAAATTTAATAGTTTCACAATTGTTACTATCATACAAAGTCGGTAATTCTTATTTGTTGTTAGGGATGTTGTGCCAAATGAGATCACATATTTTTGCTAGACCAATATAAATTTAACTATAAAAATATTAATTTAGGACCTATTCTAAAATACATTATCACAATAGCAAATATTAAATTTATCCAATATGAATTTGGATATTGGTAATTTGTAATGAGTGAAAAAAAAATGAAGTAATAAAATGATAAAATAAAAAAATTAAATGTTATCTATTTTTATTTAATCTGTAAGACCAACTCTAATGTAAACCCAAATTCTTATTGAGTAAAAAAATGATAAAAAAACTTAATTTTGTATAGACCTGTTAGAATATTTTAACGAAAAAAGTGTTTTTTTATGTGGAAACTCAATCTCATATCGACTAAACATCTAAAGATACTTTAGTATATATATATATATATACTAATGTTATCTAACCTTTGAATCAAAGAGAAGTCTTGAGACTCTCACATGCGCAAGGGGTGGGACTAGCGGAGGAATATCAACTTTCTTCTTACAATAGAAATATTTGGGCAATATTCAAAAGTGTGTGTGAAGCTTCTGCTTCATTCGATTGTGCAGATCTAAGTGAAGCAACAGTCAAAAGGCTGGGCTGTTATATCTTGGGAACAACGCGTTACTACTTTCTGGGATGTGATTCTTTCATAAAAGGGCGCGAATCGTCTTAAGAGAGCGACCTAGTCCACGTCTCACCTTGTCGTTCACTTTATATGCATCCAATTTTCAATAGTCTTCAATGAAAAAACTCAAATTCAAAAGAAAAGAAAATCAAATTTAAATGAAAACAAACTCAAATTTAAAAGAGAGTAAAATATAAATACTGAATCTTTAAAAGATGATAAAATCTCACAATTAAAATTTGGGTATAGATTTGAGTTTTCCTTGATTAAAGTAAAACAATAAGTCTCCCTTTATTTAATATGAATATGAGTCTAGTATTAGATAAAGTTTTAAAGATTTTTTTATTTAAATTTTAATTTGAAATTAAAAAAAAAGGTAAGGGTTGGAAATGCTATAAGAACACGGTCACCATTTTTGCACTCAGTTTGGTTTGTTGTAGTGGATTAGTTATGGGACATCGTTTTGGTGCAACCAATACCGTGTGCTGTTTTGAGGGAAATGGAGAGGAGCCAGACACCGCCCAATAGACCCTAGTCACCCGACCTAGTCTATATCGCTAATCGAATTTGAGTGCACGAATACTATGATTGTATACAAATATCGATTCAATCTATTTAATGATCCAACAAGAAAACTAAAATCCTCATTTTTGTAAAAACTAACAATGTACTATGTGTCATACACGAGAATGATTTTTATATACAAAAATTAATAAAATATATTATGTATATATTTAAATTAAATATCATGCAAATTTATTAAAC